TGGGCTTCTCAGAAACAATCCTCTTTCTCAGGCCCGGGTTGACTTCCACATCACATGGGGCTATGAGAAGTCTGGCTTGTTTTAATTTCCGCCTTTGATTAGTGATCTTTTGTTAGGATCTCACAATCTAATGCCAAGGAGGAATTTCTAGATAGTTTCCTGGACAAGGCCTGTTTTAAATTCCCTACACTTTTTGGGTTAATGAACAGCATGGCTCCTGATCAGAAGCCTCGGGCAGGCTTCGCAGTCAGGGGCCCCCTTGGATGCATGGGGAGAGTTCTGCCCCTCTGGATCACGGACTCACTCACTGTCCAGGCAGAGAGTAGACATCCCGAAGGACTTCAGTAGTCAGGCACTGTGCTGTTTCTCCAGTCGTCTTCCTTCATTTACCCTCTGATCCTCTCCCCGGTAGAAGTGATGGTGTTTTACCGGTGAAGAAACCGAGGGTCAGGAAGGTTAAGCAACCAAGAGGGCCAGAAGTCTAGTTGGTTCCCAGTCCATCCTGAGCTGGTTTCTCTGTAATTGATTGAGACTTTGGGCTTTTGGTTGGGACTTGGGTACAATTGGGGATGGCTTTGCGATGATAGCCAAATTAGACCCCTTCTGTGCTCTCGATCTCATTCTCTCCCTTGCTTCCATCTGGGTGTCGGATGCAACCACCCTGCCTGCTCGCAACACACACACGCACACACGCACGCACACACACATCCCTTTCACAGTGCTTAGGCTCTTTCGGTGGTAACATTGGATTTGGTGGCCAGGTATCATTTTATCAGACTCAGATTTCCAAAGTTGTGGTCTAGGTTAGTGATCTCAGAGTTTTTCAAAACCAGCCCCCCTTCTTCCTGGGGTGTGCCCCTTTCTTGGGGGAGGGGCTGGAGGTAGTGGGTGGGATGCTCCTTTCCCTCACTCTGGCTGCCGTACACTTTCCAACAGGACTCCTGATGCACCTCTTACAACGGGAATTGCTTCCTGGGTTCAACATGGGGGCATCTGGGAGAAGAGACTGGGAAGATGGGGAGGATTTCATCTGATTGGAATAGTCTGTTTGCACCATTCCTGTAAAAGCCGGCCAGAAACTTGATTCCGCTGGGTAAACCTCCTTTGGGTGGCTGCCCTGCGTTTGTGTTGGCCTTAGCAAGGAATTTGAAATCATACTCCTGAACAAAAGGAGCAGCCTTCTTTTCAAAGAGTCCATCAGAGAATTGAAAGGGAATGGCACAAAGTTGGGTGTGTCCTGAAATCCAGAGAGGAGCCTGCCTGGGTGATTAACTCACCTAAAAGGCACCCAGAGCAGGTGACCACGCGAGAGCTCTCACTGACCTTGGCTTCCTTTAGGGTAAGGTCCCCCAAGGTGAAGATTTTACTGAAAAACAGGCTTTCCTCTACTGACAAGATTTCCTTCCTGCCCTGCCGTGCTCCTGACCCTTTCGGGAACACGTGTGTGCTTGGGAGATGCCCGACATAGCTGCTCTGGCTCCGAGGCCCCCCCGTGGGGCTGGGGGCAGCTCGGGGGGGTCTCACTCAGTCATTGCGTTCTGCCTGGTCTGCAGGGCTGAGGGGAAAGGCCAGGAGGGGCGGTGTCTCTTGATCAGCTGGTCACTGTAGCCCCGATGTGCTGGCTCAGCTCTAGTTTAGGTAATGATTGTATTCTTTCTATTTTAAGTCCCCCGTGCAGTTTTCAAACAGGTCTCCATTCTGCTTCACTCCCCACAGAAGAGGGGCTGTGGTGGGGCTCGGTCGGCCGCCTCGGTGGGACAGGAGAAGGGAGAAGCTGCTTCGGGCCGCACTGCCTGGAGCGTGGATGGGGCTGGGGTTTCAGGCTTCTCTGCGTGGATGACGCTCCGATGTCCCTCGTAGCTTTGTCAGCTTTTCCTGGCTGGCCCCACCATGCACGTTCTTGACGGGAGCCAGGGGTCGTGGGTGGCCTCCGAACCGGCCTTCAGATCTGCGCTGTAGAAGGTGTGTGTCTCTGTCCTGTTCCACGTTTCAGGATTCCCTGGCTCTGCACAAAGGCCCCTGAGCTTGGCATCCAAGTCCCTCCAGCAGGACACAGGGGCCATCTGATTAGTGTCCCACATGCCCGTGTTGGTGCTGTGGTGAGTACACCAGGTTTCCTAAGACCCGATTTTTCTCCGCCTTGGCCTCTGTGCAGAGTTCTGTTTGTTCTCCTGCTCTTCCAAGATGCTTGTTGCTTTTCAGTCAGGGCTGAGAATTTTTTTTTTTTTTTTTTTTTTAAACACACATCCTTTCTTCTCATTTCTCAACTAAGCCTGGGATTAAGAATGTGGCTTCAGCTGACAAAAGCCAGGAGATTTCAGAATTAAAGTTGGAATTCTATCTGTAATGATGTCTTCCTGAGTATTTAAGGAGGACTTTGAACCGTGGGTAATTTTTTTTCCTTCCTAAACTGGCCAGATGTGCTTCGAGTCGTGGGCAAAAGAAGCAGCTCCACGTGATTTGGGTTTTCTTTGTGATAATTGTGAGCTTGCCTTATTTGAGTCCCCTGTGTCCTAGGGGCACAAAGGGAAGAGGCTTGTGACTGGCCCCTGTTTGGGTTGTGTTCTTACTGTGTGTGTCACACGGGCGTGAGAGCTTCGAAACTGCCTCCCGGCCACCACCCCCAGCTCAGCAAAACCACTTAAAACGCACTTTGCAAGTATAACTCTAGTTCTTTAAAATGTTTCTCCACAAGAGAGATTAAAAAGTTGGGTTTTTTGTTTTGTTTTGTTGTGATTCCTTTCATCATCTGGGGCAGCGGCTGGCAGGCTGGGCAGGCTGGGGGAACCGAGGGCGAGGGACTGGTAGGAGTCGGGTCTGGTTTCCCTTGTTAGTGGGGGAGGGGGCGGGGTCAGTGCAAGGACCACTTTTTGGCCTTGCCTGTAGCGGGGAGTTTTAACAACCTGGTGATCACTTGGCGTGGCAGGCTCCAGGGTCAGATCCAGAAGCTTTGCCCTGGGCCATCCCAGCAGCCCACTTGGGAGCCCAGGGTTATCTGTGTTCTCTGCCTGGGCACTTCCCGTGAGGAAGAGGAGAGGTCCCACAGAAAGGTCGTGAATGTCGTCCTTCCCAGACTGATGCTGGGCCCAAGGAGAGCCACCCCATCCTCAAGACCTTAGGAAAGGCAACAAGATAAATATGGACTGATCAGATGGGACAGACGGTTCGAGAAAGTGTGTGGCAAAGGAGGCAGGGAAAGCTGCTTGACTGCGTTTGGGATTTACTGAGGCCTTGGAGAGGACTTACCGTTTCAGAATCTAAAATGAGGATCAGAATTATAAACTGCTTGGAACAGGCCTGACACACCATAGGTATTTGTTAAATTTTTAAAAATACAAAACACAAATAAATCATCCACTTCTGCCTCGAGGTGCCGTGTACCTGTTGGAGCAGGTTTCCTTGTGTGTCCCTCACACCGCCGGGGTGGAGATCAGAGAATCCTGACCTCAGCAGTGGAAAGAGGGGTTCCCCTTGGGTGTTGGGGGACCGGAGAGAAGGCTCCCTGGGCTTTGAGATGGGGCTTGGTAGTCACAGATGGTGGGCTGTGTCCTAGGGGAATGGTCACACAATGGATGGGAGGTTTTATCCTTTGCACACGAAGGACGGGTGAATTTCATGGAGCCTGGTGAAGTGATAGGTGAAATGGGTGTGTAGTGAATAGTGTTTGAGGGTGGGAGATCCAAATCCTGGTTCTGTTAAAAAAAAAAAAAATACAGGGACATAAGGGTGGTGGCTGGTTAAGTTAGGGAGCAACCCATCTTCTCGATGATTCCTGGGGCCAAAATGATGACCCAAAAACCACTCAGGTTGTTTTTAGACTGGAATGCTACTCTGTATTAGGTCACTCTGAGAAATGCCCAGTAAAATATTTACTTTCTCTTTAAGAGCTACTTTCCCTTACCAGAGAAGGAAGAGTAGTCCTCTGCCTGAGGACGGCCCACATGGGGGCTCGGGCCCCCCCTGCTGCAGCTGCCCTGGACAGGTGGGGTCCACTGGAGAGCCAGCCCCGTGTTGAATTCAGCACCGCTGAGTGCTCTGCACCTTCTCTACAGAGCTGATGAAGCACGGTGCAGGTGGGCCTGACTGGCCACATTCCGAGGGGAATTTGTGTAAGAGAAGGCACTAGTCAGCCCCCTTCCCTGTCAGCATTCGCCTTCACATGCTCCCGTCCGATCTCCAGGTCCCGAGCGGGCAGTAGGAGGGTTGGTACCTGTCCTGGAGAATGGCTTGTTGGGGTTGCCTTCCTGGCACGTGGTGGGCACTTGGTCCGTAGCAGCTCTGGTGACTGGCCCAGGTCCAGCTGGGTGACCAGCTTGCTGCATGTGTTCCTGCCCCTTGGCTCTGGAATTAGGATGGTACTTGCTCATCTCCTCCCAGGGCAGTCATCCACTCATGGGGACTGACTGGGTGCCCACTAGGGCCCGGTGCCATGTGGGGGTGCACATGACTGCCTGGGGGCAGGGTTCCTGCTCTGCATTTCGTGTTGGGCTCCAGGTTCGAGTAGTAGGGTCCCGAGAGCATGAAATGGTGAGGCACAGCCTGGGGGGACTGTGTTCTGGGAAGATGTCCTACCGGGGTCCATGGAAGAGACAGTTTGTTGCCTTCAGGGCGGGCTGGTCATTTCATGGACCAGCGGTTTCTTTGGGCTCAATTCATGCCATAAAAAAAAAAAATCTCCCTTGGAAAGCAAGATGGTCCTTGAAAATGCCCTTGGGAGGCAGCCGGTGCTGGAATGTGAGGACATCTCAGGGGTCAGGGGCCAGAATGTCATATTTCCACATTTGCAAATCCTAGGAGTAGTGAACAGTAACTAAAGGCTAATGCACGTGGGAAGGGGCTCAGACATTAGCTGGTGGTTTGACCACCACCGTCATCATCATTGGTGGTGGTGGTGGTGGTGATGGTCTGAGAGGAGTGGGAACCATGGGTAGTACCAGGAGTTGTTGTGGGGGGTAAAGTAGGTGCGACTAAAGTTCCCTTCTGCCTCTGCCTTTTTCAAGAGATGCGCTGCGTGGCTTGCTACATCCCTGTAAAACATCAAGCTGGAATTAGAGGCCTTCCGGGATCACGGAGAGGTCCTTTGTGCCCTGCTGCATCAGCACAAGTTGCCAGCAGCCCTCAGCCCACCCCCACCCCAGGCCGGGCTCTGGCCTGCCCCATGAGTGGAGCCCGTGGATTCCGTGCGTGCGTTTAGCGGTAAGAAGCTGGCTGTGGGCTTGGTGGTTTTCACATGAGTGATTCATGCAGTCCCCACGGAGGGCCTGTGCCCAGGTGGTTTGAGAGGGTGGCCTCTGGAGCAGGGCTTCTCTGGGGTACCCCCTGGCCAGAAGTTAGTCTCCTGGAGCTCCACCCAGCATACCTTTGGAAGAAGCTCCAGGTAGGGCCAGAACAGCTATATTTTTAGCAAACTCCTCCCGGTGGTTCTTAATGCAGCCAGCCCAGAACCTGCCAACTGCACACAGATTATCTTTCTTTAACAACAAACCACTCCCCAGCACACATCCATACACTTGAGTCTAGTTATTGAACATTTGGCATGACAAATGATTGAAAGATTTTAGATGTCTTGAATAACCCCCTCCCCCTCAAAATCTGAATGAATAGATTTGGAAATGGAAATATGGATTTCTGCCCAACCTAGTCTGATTTTTTTTTTTTTTTTTTTTTTTTTTTTTGGTTTAAGAGGGATTCTCCACCCCCTAGAATAGCACCAGGCTCTCCTAGGGACAGGAGGGAAATACTGCGTGTACCCGTTAACATTGGAGCTGGTTCCATACTCAGATGCACTTGACATGGAACTCTCTCTCTTCTGACCGGTCAGCAATGTCCACCGAGGGGGGCTGGGCTGAGTGTCACAGCCTGCTGGCAAGGGGAGAAGTTGGTTTTACAAATTACATTTTAGTACACTACAAGTCACTTTAGGGAGGCACACTTTGGAAATCTGAGCACACAAGTCAAGGGTGGGTGCAGCAGTGGGGTTGGTGACTTGCACACTGGCCGGTGTGAGCGTGAACGAGATCAGCACCAGGCACATCCGCCTCGTTTTGCAAGTGAACAAGTCAACCTCCAGGAGCTCTTCTGAGCCGATGGTATTATTTCCCTGTGTCGCCAAACACAGATTTGGGGACAACACCTTCTGTTTTAGAAATGTAAGTAAACACATTTTGTGGCAGATCCTTTTCATCTTAATCAGTGGATTTATTAATTAGTAGGCTTCATTGAGGCTGATAGCTTATGTTTCCATATAGATGACAGCTTACCTTTATTCTGTTTGTAGAAACACTTTGTCATACAGGAGCTTACTTTGTTTTTTAGTAACAACCCTAATGAGACAGTGAGGAGGCGTGGTTACCTCCCACTTGTGGAATCCGCTGAGGGATCTCACAAGCCACGTGGATGGGCTCACGGTTTATAAATGATGGAGCTGGTTCTGACCTGCCTCTTCTCTACCAATACCAAGCTGTCTGAAGAGTGGCTTTGTATTCAGATAACCCAATTCTTTTTTTTTTTTTAAAGATTGAATGCACACCTGCGCCTGAGTGGGAGGAGGGGCAGAGGGAGAGGAATGGCAGACTCCCCACCGAGCTGGGAGTCCCGATCCTGGGACCCTGAGCTCATGACCGGAGCTGAAGGCAGGTGCTTAACTGACTGAACCACCCAGGCGCCCCTCAGATAACCCAATTCTTTTTTTTTTTTTTTAAAGATTTTATTTATTTGACAGAGAGAGAGCTAGAGCAGGAACACAAGCAGGGGCAGTGGGAGAGGGAGAAGCAGGCCTCCCGCTGAGCAGGAGCCCAGTGCAGGGCTCAGTCCCAGGACCCTGGGATCATGACCTGAGCCAAAGGCAGACGCTTAACGACTGAGCCACCCAGGTGCCCCCAGATAACCCAATTCTAAGGACGAGGGTGTGTGTACAAATTTGAAGGCAGGGTGGGGGTGTGGGGACGTCCACCCAGTTTGAAGAATCTGGAGCCTTTGTGTGAGTTCCAGGTGCTAGGGTCAAGATGAGCTTGAAGGGGGGGGCATGCATGGTGTCCTCAGATGAGTGATTTAAGGGGCTTCTTACTCCTTGATCTGAGGTTGTTAACTGTGGTCTTGAGCTTTTTGGCCCTTTCTGGTTTGGGTAACTGCTTTCTGGGGGAAGTTTGGGATACCTTTTGAATTGCACACAGAGATATTTACTGTGAGAGAGATTCCAGCCATTACCTTAACCATTACCTGGCCAAGTGGCACAGGGATAGATAGATGTCCGAGGCCACAATTCTGTTTAAATACGAGAAGTAGAAGCCTTTGGGTTCTAGCAGTTTCTTTGGGGGCTGTTTTTGGACTTGGGTTAGCAAAGAAACGACTTTATGATTTATGGTGTTTATGAAGACTAGCATACCTGTTTTCATATAGACATCTTAATAGAGATTAAATACAGAATAAAGCAGAATGCATGAACGAAGATATTCCCATAAGCAATATTGTAGTGTTAGGCAGTGTAATTATGTTTTGTACACTTCCCAATTAAGCAGTTATGCATTACTGGAAAAACTACCTTTAAGAGATTTAGGAAAGCTTTATAATTTTGTATATCAAATAAAAATAGATGTATCGTATTTTATGCATAGGGTTTAAAATTTTTACGTTCTATGATAAAGTAACTCAATTTGGATTGATTTGTGGAAATTTATGCAGTGACACCGAGATGAATTTGCTTTTTCTGAAAATGGCCTGTTGAACAAAAATCTGCTTCTTGAGCAAATAGAGCTCCTACTGTGCGCCGGCCTCCAGGTGAGAGCAAGGAGGGTTTATCCTGAAGTTCAGCAAAGCACTGGTGACCTTGCAAGAGCTGGAATGGGCGCGGGGGGCTTCTCTAGGGCATGGGTGGACGGTAGGTCATCCCTAGGCTGAGGGGTCAGGGACGCCGAGCTGCTGGAGGAATTGAAAGACATTCGTGGTGCTCTCCTATGACTGAGGATGTGCTGTGTAGAGCTTAAGAACATAACTTCCAGATGTACACTTAGGGTCCCAGGACACCTGCCCCCCTGGTGAAGTCCTTGGGAAGTGACCCCACTTCCTTATGCCTGAGTGTCTTCACAGTGGGGTGGTGGGTGCTCAGGGAATCCGTGAGGGTGAAGTGACTTCATGTATGGCAAGCCCTTGACATGTGCCTGGAGGAAGATCTCCAATGTGGGCATTACTATTATTATTATTATTATAGTAGTAGTAGTTAATGTTGGAGTAGAGAGAATAAAGTGTGGGAGTGGGAAGGACTCTAGGTCTGAAGAGGCAAAGAGAGGGCGCAGAGGGTTGCGGGGTGGCCCTGAGTTCAGATCACCACGGCCAGACATGGCTTTTTTTTTTTTTAAGATTTTATTTGTGCGCTAGAGAGAACAGAGGGAGAGTGAGAGGGAGAAGCAGACTCCCCGCTGAGCAGGGAGCCCGATGCGGGGCTCAGTCCCAGGACCCTGGGATCATGACCTGAGCCGAAGGCAGATGCTTAATGACTGAGCCACCCAGGCGCCCCAAGACATGGCATTTTAGAGCGATGGCCGTGGTGCCTGGGGGACTGGACCCGCTGTGGACTCGGTGGATGTGGGGGGTGGGGGAGCTATCAGAAGGGTGTTTGGTGCTCAGACTAACAGGCCCAGGTGCCTGACGGGTGGTGGACAGACAGGAGGACAGTGGGTCAAGTACTTGGACTGCATGCACGGTGGGTCACTCTTTGGGGGTCTGCTCAAGGACTCAGGCTGCAGGGTGGGTCCGTCATCTCTAAACCCAGCTCATTTTACACCAGAACTTGAGTGTCAGTTTCACTCTGAGCTCCTGCACATGACCCTGTTCTGTTCCTCCACAGAGAAGCCCAGGTGCCAAGATAGGGCTGAAAGCTATTTTGTCACTGTCACTATATCCTCTGCCCCCCCCCCCATCGGTCATCTTCAGGGCCAGGGATGGTGGTGATCCTCTCTAACAAAGGGGCCAGCAAGGAAAGGCTCAGGTCGTCCTGGCTCTGCCCTGAGCTTGCTCTGTGACCTTGGGTGAACTCCAGCGCTGCCCCACGGTTTTTCCTTCAGTGGGCGTCCCTGGGTTCTCTGGATTGGGGCACGCCTGGGGGTCCCAACGCCTTACTGATCGGGACTTATTAGGCTGGGTGTGGCCTCCGGGGGCTCTCGAGGGCTACTGGCTTGGCCCTTGTACGCCTGTCCCACGCTTCCCCAGGATGGCAGTGGCAGCCCTTAGCAAGGGTAGATCCAGTCCTGCTGGGGATCTTCCTGAAGGGAGCAGCGGGGAGGGGCTGGGGGGAGCCTGTCCATTCCTGGCTTGATCAGATGGGTTTGCAGTTAGATTAAAGGGACCCCGACAGGGCGCCTGGGTGGCTCAGTTGGTTAAGCGACTGCCTTCAGCTCAGGTCATGATCCCAGGGTCCTGGGATCGAGTCCCGCATCGGGCTCCCTGCTCTGCGGGGAGCCTGCTTCTCCCTCTCCCACTCCCCCCGCTTGTGTTCCCTCTCTCACTGTGTCTCTCTCTGTCAAATAAATAAATAAAATCTAAAAAAAAAAAAAAGGGACCCCAACAAGGCTCAACTTTTTTAAAGGGACCTCCTCCGAGGATCGAGGAGACTTTGGGGTAAAAGCAGTCAAGGCACGGTACTTGAGGGGAGTCTCATTTCATTTCTCCTTTCCCTAGCTGGAGGCGACAAAAGTGTCTTCCCTGACAAGATTGTTCCGAAGTGCGGCTGAGTTTCAGGGACACTGCCAGTGTTTGTGCAGCGGGGTCCTTCCCGCCGATGTGGAGACCCTTCTGGGGGTTGGGGATTGGGACCGAGGTGATTTCCTGGGGGGAGCTGGAGGCTGGGCTCACCGCTCTGGGACTGCAGTTGACTGCCCAGGGGAGGATGTCTGTTTTGTTTTGGTCTTTCGTGGAGATGGAAGACGTTGAGAAACTTTCACATAGGTGTAATTTACATACAATAAGATTCACCCTTTCCGCCTGCTGTTCTGTAAGTTTTGACCAAAGATATGTGAACACCACGTGGCTGCAGAACCAGTTCCATCACGGAGGAAAGTTGTCCTGTGTTAACGGATGAAATCGCCCCTTTTTGTTAGTAGAAAGGCCAGCCTCCGAAGTTTGGCGAGGTAGGTAGATGTGTCTTGTGAGGCGCATCTATAATGTCCGAGGTCTCACTTGGCTCAGGGGGACTCTCCAGTCACAGCAGATAGAGTTGCTTGAGGGGCAGGCACCCACGCCATCCCAAGGATGTCTGAGACTTCAGGCATTTGGCCCAGGCTGGGCAAGATAGAGCCAAGGTCAGTCCCTGGAGTTGGAATCTTGTCTGCCCCATGAAACCCCCAAAGGTCCCCTTTTCTCTCCCCAGAGGGGTGAGTTCCAAACCCATACATACAGGCCAGGGTGCTTCTCAGGCCATTGTCCCCGGGCTTCCTGGGGACACGCACACAACAGCTGCTCACCCTCCTCCACACAATGTCCTGCCAGCCCCTCTTGGAAGGTGCCCGGAGACAGGTGCTTCTCTGTCCACCCTGGCTGCTGGCTCTGGGTCCAGAGGGATCGGGAGTGACCACCACATCACTAGCCGCTTCCTCCTTTCTCCTCCTTGGGGGAAGTGGCTTTGGAGCAAGCAGCCAGTGTACTTCCCGCATGCTGTGGTCATTCTGTGTTCTGTGACTCCTTGGGGACACGGGGCGGTGGGGGACTCAGGTCCCCATTTGCCTTACTGCGGTGGTTTGGGGAGAGCCTGGAGGGACTAGAGGACTTTGCTGTGGGAAGGTCAGTGGCTGCCAGGTCCAGCGGTGGATCACTCCACCGGCTCAGCATCCCACCCCAGGACCTCTGCGCCAGGTAGGGTCAGGAGCTCTCTGAGGAGGGTTATTTATAATGAGGCACTGCAGGCCTGCAGGAGAGCGCCCCCCCCCCCCCCCCCGTCACACTGCATGGGGGCCCAAATTGACTGGCTTTCTTCGTAGTATTTAATATTCTCCTATTTCCGTTCATTTGGGGGGGAATTTTATGAAATGAGCCTGGGAATTTTTTAAATTGCTAGCTGGGGATCGCTGCATTTATTGATTTTTCCGGTTGCTGCTGGAAATGTCTTCAGTGCTGTTTCTTTGCTTCCCCACTAGGGCCCCAGCATATGGGGTGGGTGAGAGCACTCCTCATGCTGGAGGGGCTCACAGTTAATCATGTGTTTGTGTGTGTGTGTGTGTGTAAACTCTTTGATGCCCGTGAGCTCAGATTCAACCTGACCTTGGTCCTGGCCTGAAATTCATGTCTAAGCATCCTTGTCCTCTTGGGGGTGGTCATCTGTGGGCTGCCATCCAGTGAGTGGAGGGAGACACAGGTGTATATAGGATTTGGGGGAGTAGCAGGAAGGTTGGCATCCCATGTCCTGGTGGAGCTTCAGAGGCCAGTATTGTCCCAGGCTGGAGAGCCTGCAGGACCTGGCTGCAGCGAGGTTCCCCGGGCACACGCTGCCATGACAGTCTTGTGACCCCAGTTCCCTGCGCAACCCTTGGGGCCGGGGGGAAGACACCTGCGCAGGGCCTGGAGGGAGTTCTTACGGGAAAAGTTGACTGCATACAGATAAGAGAGAAAAGTGTTTTCTGCCCCGAAGGGTGTCAGTAAGCATGGCTGCTCCATCCACAGCAATCAGAGCTCTCAGTGGATCGTTTCCCGTGGCCATGGTGCGCAGCTGTGAGCGCACAGTAGGACCGTGGTTCCAGGCCGCCCAGGGCCTTCCCAGGGCCCTCCGTGGGCTCCGCGTCTGTGTCCACAGGGTAAATTCTAAGTGAGAAGCCACTCCCTTGGGTGGATCCTGACATTCCAGCTGACTTGGAGGGAAGTGAATGGGCAGCCACTCTGCTTTGCCTGAGGGGTGAGCAGCTTGCTATTATTGTATGCCCAGGCCCAGCTGGAAAATAAGAACATTCTTGAGGTGTGCACATTGTCAGATGACTATTTCAAAGGGAGCCAGTTAAGAAAGGCCTTTGCCTGTGTTCAAGAATACTAGAAATACATTCCTTTGGTAGATAAATAATAATACAGCTGCTTTTTCTTGAGTACCAGGAATGTGCCAAGGAGGAGGATATAAAAATAAATGTATCTGGTGCATCCGTAATAATAACAGTGAAGTTCCTCTCACAGGCTGAAAGTTCTTCAGTGTGTTCGGCTCAGGGCAGCTCAGTGGCTCACAGGGACACAGCTTTTGGGTGACAGTTGCTGCATGGGAACCTCAGTGGGACTGGAGACAAAAGCCCATTCCTTCACCGAGCCAGCCATCCGAGTGAGTCTGTGGATGTGCATAAGTGGGTTTGGGTTTCCTGAGTCGTGCATCTCACACCCAAGAATCGAGGTCTCGCAGTGAAGCTTCGAGGCTCTGGAAGTGGGCAGGCATTTCAAGAGGGTGGTGATCTGAAGACACATTTCCGTTTACATTTAGGTAGTGGTTTGCTGGTCTAATTTTTTTTTTTTTTTTTTTAACCTTTTGGCTTGGAGAAATTTTCCCTCTGGTTATGGTAATTTTCCTTTCCTGATATGTAAATTGATTACAGCAGCTCTTTCAAGTCTTGCTCATTTGATTATCCACAAGCCTCCTTCTGCCTCTTATTTAAACTTATTTTTAGCACAGTCCTTGAAACCTCAGTGTGAGACTGTCCATCTTCTGCTCTCTCTGAGCTGCCGAAGGTCGTTTTAATCAACCACATCCACCAGTTGCGTTGCGAGTCATGCTAACGTGGGAGGAACGGGGCCTCCTGGATAAGGCCTGGTCCGCTCTG